AAAGAAAGTGGGTAAGGTGCAAAAAAATCTGCTGCCGGATGAGCCTAAACAGTGGGATATTAAAGTAGCATTAGTAGTGAATTACTATTCTGTAACTGTAGTTTCCACTCCAGATGATGAATGGAGCTTTAGTTCAACTTGAACCTTGTGGAAGAATTTCTTCGTATGATCCACAATATGTCACACAGGACTCCCCTGATCCAAGGGGGCAAGGATAGCAACGGTTGGGCGCATGTTATTATGGATCAGGTCTTTATTTTGTTAAACTGTGACTCTGAATATATCTCTACTAATATTACACCACATAATATGGCCTCACAAATTGGATGAATGCAAAATGGAACTTTTTCCAGTATTACTGAGATCATGGTTTAGAGAAGAAGATTTAGTTGATTCACTACAGTCCTTAGTAGGACTGAGTTAGAATTTGGCATAAACACAGATTTATGTCTGTTTTTTTTCTTTATAACAGCTTTTGCCAAGAAATATGTCCAGGAGATCCTGCAGGACATGTTGCACATTGAAAAAAATGTCTTCCAAATGCTGTCAAAATAAAGGTTATTGACCTTGAAGACTTTGTTTTTAAACAAAAATGTAGTCCAGTTTTAATAGACAGCTAGATGTTTTCACCTGCAAACTGCCAAAACCACAGCTGTGCTCTTATCAGCTGCTTCCAAACTAAAGTCATTTTCGCTTTATTTCACTGCCATCAAATTATTTCATTTTGTTCAATCTAGTATAAAACTGCTGTGTACATCTGATTCCAAGAAATTATGGATTGATGACAGGATGGTTTATGGCTGGTTAGGATTTAATTAGTTCTTAGGAGTTTTACACCCAGACTGTGGAGGACGGACAAAAGTGATTCTTTCCCAAAACCTTCATCTGACCCTTCATCTCATCAACCCAAACGTCTGCACTTTCAGTAATTTTGCTATGGAGCACAAAAAGACAGGAGCCAGTAGATTTGTCTATATTTCAACATGGTGACACTGGAAAGCTGCACATCATCCATTTTACACAAACACCATAATAATTTTGATTCTAATGATGGAATAGATTTTTGGTTATAGCTTAAACTGCTAGCATTAACTGATTACAGCCATTATGTAAGAGTTGAACATCTCTGACTAACCACCCCCAGTGGTACAGTAGTATTAAAGAAGACAACATTTGGCTTTTTAGTTAATTATGGCCTCAGCTGAGAAAATGGTAAACTTTTTTCTTAGTTTACCATTTTTACTTTTTACATGTATGTCTTGTTAATGTTATCCTTGGTTTTAATCCACATTTGTCAAATTCTACATGAGTGAAGTTGCCTGCTGAGAACTTGAAGGACTGAAAGTCCTGCTGTGCCATTCGATCTTTCCCTCTTTAGAATTTCCAACTTTGCCACTCCGGGCAGTTCTAATGCAGATTAAATGGTCCAACCTGTGTATATGTTTCCACTTGCACTTGGAAAAGTGTGTCGGGCAACTGAAGGTCTTTAAGGATTCCAGTTTTGTGTGTGTGTGTGTGTGTGTGTGTGTGTGTGTGTGTGTGTGTGTGTGTGTGTGTTTAAGAGGGTGTGTTAAGTTCCAGTCATAGCTGTAGTGGTGTACGTGCAGGTCAAGCCAGCTGCTAAAGCTGTTATATCACTGTACTGTTTGACCAGCTGTTACACATGACTTGGCAGAGTGGAATGGAATCTAAAGTGTGTGTGTGCGTGTGCGCGCACACTTCTGACTGTTTGTGTGTGAAGGAGCTGTGCTGCGGTTGTGTTTACGTCAGTTTTCTTGCGTCAGAGTGTTGGATTAAGGAAGTGAGCTTCAGTTTCTGATCATAGACATTCATGAAAACACCACCAGGATGTCTGAGCCCTCTATTCATACTCAAGTTAGGACCTGGGTTTTAGCTGACCATCTGTGTTGTGTTTACATAGGCTCACTCTGTTGTTGGGAGAACATCTTTGTCTTCACTGTAACTTTAAAGGGATTTGGTAGCTAAATCCAGTCTGACATATTGGGTCTTAATTTAGACCTAATTTGATGATTTTGTTGTAAAGTTAGTTAGAAGGAGCATCCTTATCAATTTCTGTGCCATCTTTGATTGTTGAACAAACAGGAGCCTTCAGCCCTGTGAGCACAATTTGGGTCAACATTGAATAAATTTGGCGTAGTGCCACTCGGCGAAGCACATATGTTACATACTTAAGTTGAGGGCAGTTGCAACACACCCCAAACACAATAATGGAAGTGTGCACACAAGCTTTTTTTCTATAATAATGTAAATACAGCCTTCGTCACTGCTGTTTGCTCCCACATTACATTTGTTTGGACTTTATGGCCACTCACTGTCAATCAGTGGAATAAACTAGTTATTGAACCTCAATACGTTGAATACCAACTGATTTGTGTTTTGTAATGAGTGCTGAAAAGCGACGTGTTGAAACTTAACATACATTTTTTTGACAGATTCTTTAGCTGTTTTACTTATTCTTTAATCTGTTCCATTTCAGTAAAGTTTTCTAACTTCAGACCATATTTTATATGAGCAATATCATTTAACACTGATGGATTGGGCAGTTTTTGGGCAATGCATAATTTGTTAAAAGAATTGTTAATTGACAATATTTTATTGATAGCAGTGCCATTATCGATTTTGCTTATCAGCCCGATTCTTTGATTCCCTTGATGATTTCTGATCAAATTTCTGTGTGGAAAATGCAGCAGCCTGCCTGTCCTTTTTTTTTTTTTTAAATGGTAAAAAGCCAAAACTTTATCAATACACCTGTTCAACCTGCATAAATGTGAACTTGCTGCCCACTCACTGCTCTGTCTGCGCCCAAGGACTCTACGCTGGTGAGATCTTTTCGTCTAGTGAGAGGAGTGGAAGGAGGGGGAGAGTCAACTGGCTGAATGCCTGCTGCCAACTAGCAATCGAAGGCTTAAATACAACACAAAACCACTTTCATAAAATCACTGTCACCAAGTAAACTACTGATAAAATATCGATAAAGCCCTTCAAAGAATTGATACAGTATCACGTCATGAAATATCGCAATATTTTAGTGTATCGATATTTTCTTACACCCCTAGTTCTCAACTGGAACCAGTTCTCAATTCCCATCCCCACTCAAACTAGGACATTAAAGAATTTTTTTGTATTGTTACAGAATCTGTTATTGTATTGGCATCAAGCCAGACGGGTGTACGGAGAAAAGATCATTACAAGATCAATAAAGTTAGAGACAGGATAAGTCTTATACACAGACCAGATTTTGTCATACTTTTAAGTATGAGTTATAGTGAGTGTAGTGCTGCTGTTGAAAATTAATTCAGAATCACAGTAGAATATTGTCACCTGACTTATCAACAGGAGTACATCCACGTAGCCAATAATTCATGGGTCTATAGGAGCCACTTCTGAATTCACCTTCAACTACTGCTCCACTGAGCAGCTCTTATCACAGTACAGTCTGGTTTTATGTTCCTCTGCTTGTTATCTTCCTCTGCAGTGGAAGAACACGGGGCAAACCAGGTCTTGAAGCTTTCATTTTATGGAAACTACTATTGGGTGAATATGTATGCTGAGTTATAAAGTGGTTCCTAATGATGCAAGAAGAATGTGAGTCACATGTTATGCACCTGGAGTTTAACCCTAAGGTGACTAATATTTATGAACTGTTGGTATGCTCCTTATTTGGACAGAATATCAGATATTTACCCTTTTATTTTTATTTATTTATTTTTTAATTGGCACATTTATATAATAATAATAATTATGATACTAAAACTAATCTTTTTACAATAATAAATGTTAATAAAATCAAACTCACAACATGAACAAGAAATGTGTCTAAACTTATCTACTAATCTTTTAATGTAAATCACTAGATTTGCATTAAAATGGAGGGGGGGGGATATTTACACTGTAAACATAAAGGAAACAGCAACAGTGTTGTATAAATACAATTTTCCAGAGCTCAGCTGTTGATGTCCCAGCAAACTGGATTATGTAACCGATTAGAGTTTTCTGGTTGTCAGGATATTGAGTTAACAGAAGTGAGGACTTAATGTTCACGATCATACCTCAGTGAAACCTCTTTCTTGAGACAGGTATCTTCCAGCTCAGCATTAGTGTTACTCTGCCACAAGCTCTTCGCCATTTCCAGCGCTGAAACAGTCGGTTATCCCGTGTCCTTGTTCTGTCCTCTTGTTATTTTCGGCTCTGCTGTCATGGGGTAAAGGCACTCAAAAGGCAACAAGTAGAGCCACTGCAGCTGTGGGATGACACCATAAATCATTACACTGGTTCATGTTGGTTCAGTTTTTTCTTTTTTTAGACTTCCGCATAAGCATCACACATCAACCCACATTAGTAAGGTATGTTTCTCCAGCACATGTAGTTGACATTTACAGGCTTGTATCTGATATTAGTCAATAGAAATTAGAAAAAGAAAACCCACAGCTTCACTTTGGCATTAAATCAGAAGTGGTAATAAAAGTTTGATTGTAGCCCTGAAGTCCCAAACATGCAGATGAACTTCCCTTTCAAAATAAAATCAAACACCTTTAAACTAAACAGTGATATAGCAAAGTGATGTGGATGTTGCAGTAAGGGTTGTAAGATGTACTGTGATTGATTCAAACATTTTTTTACTGTGAATATCAAGTATGGTGTAGTGTGAGAACTGAGAATTAACAACCACATGTTGGAGGAAAGAAAAGGAACAACCAGCCCCCAAAATATTATGAAATTGGTGGCTTTTTTTTTTTTTTGGGTCAAGTTTATGGAACTTCATGTCCACTCCATTTTGCTTCTCTAATATGTTATTAAATATGAAAATGAATTCTGTCTTCTTTCTGCCCAAATCACATAGTACAAAGCTGCTCAAATTGATTTGTGTTAATGTTTAATCTAAGAACAAACAAAAATACAGTAAAACCAACATTGTGAGATAGAACAATAATTTAATCAACACAATACTGATGGTGTGTTTTGTGTTTGTGTCCATGCAGACATGAGGACGTGTCGTGTGAACGAGTTTAGCTGCGGAGCAGGATCCACTCAGTGTATCCCCATCTTCTGGAAATGTGATGGAGAGAAGGACTGTGACAATGGAGAGGACGAGGTCAACTGTGGTAGGTGGACATACACACACCTACTGTACATGGGAGAGATATGTGTCGACATTTGTGCCTCAGCATTTACAGTGACAATTTTAACTCTTCAAGGTAAAATTTTGGGCTCATAGAAGGGTCAAAAAGATTTTGAGCTTGTAAAGTGATGTTCATAAATAATTAAGTTTGTAGAAATAAACCTTTGTAAACCTGTTTAATAAATCTAGATGAGAAATTCAAATTTGTGTATGTGTAGAAAAGATTAATATTTGTAAGCACAAATGCTGTCAAATGACTGACAACAAAGTAAATGTAGTATCCACGTCAATAGTAAGGGATGTGTCACTCGTAGTTTATATCCATCTAACGTTGATATGATTAAAGTAAACAAGGTTGCTATCAAGAACAACCAGTGGAGTTTGTCTGGCTCTCATTATTTGCATCCTGCTGTGGCTTTTCACTTGTTCACATCATGTTATGCGTTTTACCAGTGATTAGTGAGCACTTAAAGACACTTGGTGACCGCCGATGTGATGATGAGATACTTTCTGACCTTGAGTTGACAGGGGTTGCCTGAAAGCATGTCGTGCCTATTAGCATTTTTGTTCATTGGATACTGGCAGCTACAAAAAATCTGTTGTGGGCACCTTTATTGGAAATTTGCAGGCTAGCATCTTAATTTGACTGTAGAAATAGAATTGTTGCAATGACCCAACTTACCTGTAGGCTAGCACCAGATTCACTGAATGAATATCAGATTATATCATTCTGGACTCACACTGCTGCCTCCTTTCAACAGCAGCTGTGCTGTAATGTCTCTCTGCCAGATTCCTATTGTGCAAGGACAGACAATTATTTGCACAAACACACAGGACTGCTGTGGCTTTTAAAGATGCACTTTTACTTTTTTTTTTTTGTTTCTTCCAGAAGTGCTGTCCTTATTCAAGCACTGACACATTCATAGATATATGTATCAATTACTACTAAACTTCCAGCTGTTTATCCTACACACTGCACAACATAAACACATGAACTGTCTTTTCTGTAGAGCATGAAGCTCTGCCTGGACAAACTAAGATAATTGCATCTGACAGAAAACCGTGGAGCAGCCTGTATCATGCTGGTAAATTTTAATGAGGGAAATTTTAACACACACGAACACACTCCATTTTTAACCATAATAAATCAGGTAATAATTGGCATGATTACTGATTAGCATTGAATTTCCAGAGTTAACATCGATCGGTGGTGACGTTTATTCACTTACAACAATCACTTAACTATCAATGAATATGTCAGTTGTTTGATGTAAAACATGCCAATGTTGAGTGAGTATTATGAGCTGCATCAGCTCTGTAGATTGTATCTGTGCATCACTATATAGATTTTAAGCAGCACTGCAGCAGCAGAGCACTGTCCCCTCTGGCTAAAGATGCTAATCAGTGACAGCAGCTGCTGAGGGGGAGGAGGAAACATTTGTTAATTGTTTTCTTGTTTGTTCACATAAAATCTGTGCCCCTTCTGTCCTTGAACTGTGTACCAGGATGTTTAACTGCAGTGTAGTGTGATGCATGTTTTCAGGCTGTGACCTAAACACCCCACACAGCTCTTGGTGTGAGCTGCCACAGGCCCATGTAAAACAAAATCTTACAATCTGTCACTTTCCATCGTATACTGTCTGATCCTTCAGTCATGTACATATCCCACTCCCTCCTCCCAACACTCATGTTGTGTCTTATCAAGTAAAGCAGGGGAGTCCAAACAAGTTACAATCATGGTCTCAATAAATCTAGTATCATAATTACTTGTATAGTGTAACAGGTAATGTTCACGCTGTAAAAAGTATGTGGACTAATGGCCATTGATCTGCTGCTGTAACAGTCTCCATTCTTCTGTCCCCTGATCTTTGCAAAAGCTTCATGGACAAATTGGCCATTATTATACTTGGCCGTTGGTTTACGGTGGGACTGTGTATGTGTTGTATTCAAGGATACAAACGGACATCTGAGAAGTCAGATGAGCAGTGGGAAATGAAAGTCTGTTGTAAATGTCTCAGGTGACCTGTTTCCCATTTGGAGAGTAACTAACTCTTTAAATTAGATGTGAGAAAACAGTTGATTTTGCAGATTTTGTGACCTTTTGCTTGATGTAATTAAATGCTTTTCTTTTCATCCACTAACTGCCTCCAGGTAACATTACCTGTGCTCCAAATGAGTTCACGTGCGCCAGCGGCCGCTGCATCTCGCGGAACTTTGTGTGTAACAGCGAGGATGACTGTGGTGACGGCTCGGATGAGGTTGAGTGCGCTCCATCCTCCTGCGGCCCCAGTGAATTCCAGTGTGGGAACTCATCGTGCATCCCTGCCAGCTGGGTGTGTGACGACGACGTTGACTGCCAGGTGAAAAACAAATGCCATGAAATGACACATACACACACACTCTGACAGTCCTGCAGATTACAAGTTGTAGTTAAACGGTTAAAAGGGAGACTACATTATTGTAGCATCAGACAACAGTGACAGAACCAGGAATTTGTCAAGTCATTTTTAGTTGACCTCGATCTGGTCCTTATGAATCGCAGCCATTTCCTCTTATTTCAGTCATGCAGTGATTAATGGCAGCAGTAGTATGAGAAGCCTGACTGGATGGCTTACAATAATTCCTAATTAAACTAGAGTGAAATGGCAAGAAGATCTGGGAGTGGAAGTCACTGACGAGCAGGGGGAAGGGGCACTTCTACAGTATACTATATATTAGACATGAATTGCACCTCTTCAAATTAAAACCTCCCATGATATCCTCAGTAAACTGGCCCATGATTGACAACATCCTCATTAGCTTACATTTTGAAATTGCCTCAACATAGGGGATGAAAGATTATATAGAAGTAATTACCAGTCGGCTAAAATGCAAATTCAATAAAACAACTCAAGTAAAATCAGGATGAGCTTCTAGGGTTGTACACCCCTTGACGGCAAAGCCTCCGTCTCCTCCTCTAGTTTTATGAACGGACTCTGCCTGAGGATACACCTTTTTTTATAGAAAGTTTTGCAAAATTTTCAAAGTTGTGATCGTGGCTAAGGAAGAACAAATATGATGCATTGCTAAAAGGTTTGCTCTAAATATTCTCACTTTGCAGTTTGACTCTTATCTCTGGTGACCTCTGTTTTACCACAAAAACTATGTTCAGTGTGGTGCATCATTCAGACTTTTTCATGTGCGTATGTATGTGTGCGTGTGAGAGACAGCCACTTGTCCTGGCTGCTGTTCTCCACTTTCCACTACTTTCTGTGAAATATAAAACCTTCCTTCTGAGTAGAAGAGTTATTTTCAGTAGTTTACAATAAACATGTTGTGAGAGTTGAAGCCAAATTACCATCTGCTCCCTCCTGACCTCAACATCTTTACTTTCCACTACAGTGGTTCAGCATCCACCTGTTAATTTCTGGTTGTCTCTTTCTTGTAATGAGTCCTAGTTATTCAATATTTTAAATCTAGTTACAAAAAAAATAACAAAGGAAAGCAATGTGCAGAAAGACTGAGCTTATAAATTACTTCAGTTTAATACAGGACTTGTCAAAGATAAATGTTATGACATAAAATTATAAAACTGATCACAAAGTACGTTATACATGCAGCATACACAAACACACTCTCCCTCGCTTTAGTAGATCTGGCCTCAATATAATGAACTGCCTGAGTAATATCGCTGGACACACACACACACACACACACACACACACACACACACACACACACACACACACACACACACACACACACACACACACACACACACACACAGAGACACTCTTAACACATTTTCACACATGGCAGAACAAGTTTCACTGAGTCGGCGTTTTCCTGCATACCTGTTAATTGGCAGTGCGGTTATCACTGTGATGGCCCAGCAGGAAAATGAAACACTGATGCAAACGCTCACATCCACAAGTATTTAAAATGCTGTCTCCAATGAGAAGGTCATTGTTATTCCCTCCCTTGCTCTCACACCCAGCCAGTCCTGCGTCATTGTTAAACAGTAATGGAACTGCAGACACACACACAACACTTTCACACAGTCCATTAATCTGCTCCCGCATGAGCCAGTGACTCTCTGAGATGATGAAAGTGTGAGAAACTCTTCCCACTGCTCCTCTTGATCCCTTTCTCTCTGCGTGCCCAGTTTTAATTTTAAATAAAGTGGTAATCATCTGTGAGATCTGAGCGCTAAATGCTCTCTGCTCTGTCATCTGCTCCCTGCACAGCCCCCTGATCACCTGTCAAATGGTGTGGACTGGCTATGATGTGTCTTTGTTTGGATTCTCTGTTAATGACATCTTCTGTTTTCTTCAGTGGCTGATGTCAGTCCAAATCCTTGAAAACTCTTGAAATGGCAGATATTGTATCATGAAGTCCTAGAATAGTTGATATTTGTCTATATGGGTTTTATGACTCTCTCTAAACACAGAAAGCCGTCCCCTCAGGAAACGTTATAGTGTAGCAAATCTATTTCCTGGTCAACTTGTTGGCTGCATGATCTGCTGTATGATCTTGCATGCATGCTGGTTTCTTAGCTTGCATGTATTCTAGAGAATTGGTATAAATTGAAGGAGGTGGTCTGTGTCTGCAAATTTCCTGTCTGCTAAAGTAAATGATTCACTGCAGCTGTATGATCTTGTAAATACTCGAGTTGTGGCTTGTTGCTCTACAGCAGCTACTCAGTTTAGCACAACAGCTACAGGGGTCTCCAAGGAACTACTTTCTGTCTTTAAGTGGTTGAATGTAAAGCTGGTCTGAGTCAGTTTCCCAAATGTCTACATTATTATAAAAATGAAGAAAACTGCCAGGTTGAAAAAAATCCATTAAACCATAGTTGATAGTTGTTTTGCTTTCTTGCTGAAGTCACATGAGCAAATTGATACCACTCATGCCTATACAATAAATTTAAAGCTACAGCCATCAGCCTGTTATATCATCATATCATATGTCATCAGCCTGTGCATTAACATTTATAGATTTGTTTTCAAAAATGAAAATACAAGCGTTTACATACATGCACACACTTGCACTTTGTAAAAGTGTGTGCACATATGAGATAATCCCAGATCCAAACATCTCACCTTCTCTGAATTTGAAGGCTCATTTTCCAAACTAACTAGTCTTAAAAAGTTTTAAGGTAACTGTGAGCTCCCTGCCGGGAAACGGCTACAAGAGAGGAAGTGTTGATGACGGTGAGTGAACAGCAAATGGAACCGCTTTCACAAACTGAAAGTTTGCCAAAACCCCGTGGAGCATTTACATGTTCATATTCTCTCATGACATTTACAGATACATTACAGATAATATCAGTTTCCCCATCAAAAGTAATTTGTGAGCAGTAACTCTTTTTAGGAGACGCTTGATCGAATCCTTTCTCTTTAAAACATCTCTGGTCCTCCCTCTCTCTCCTGCAGGACCAGTCAGATGAGTCTCCGTCTCGTTGCGGCCGTCACCCGACGCCGCCGGCCAAATGTTCGTCCAGTGAGATGCAGTGCCGTTCAGGAGAGTGTATTCACAAGAAGTGGAGGTGTGATGGAGACCCCGACTGCAAGGATGGCAGCGATGAAGCCAACTGTCGTATGTACAGCACAACTGACCAATCACACATTAAACATGTAGCATTTTAATAATCACATTCATTTTAGTTACAGCAGCGGACAGATGGATGTTTTCAGCTGAAACATGTAAATACACGGCTATTGTCCTCAATAAGACATCACAATAAAGATCAGTTGATGATGATCAGTCAGATGATTTAAGCAGCATCATTAAACTGATGCTCGATGCATCAAGGAGAAGAGTGATGAGCGGTATAGTTGACACGTAAACCAGTAATGACATATGTAGACCCAGAATCCTTCTTAACTTGCATTGTAGAGCCACATTACCTCTGTCCCATTAAGAGACCATGAGACACAGAGACACTGGCTGTTTGTTATGGCTGTCTACTTTATCACTACCTTCACAGCTCTCCTAGAAACAGACCGTGAACTATTGTTTAATAGTAAATGACATGTGAATGACCTGAGTACAGACATTCCTTGAATCAAAGAATATCGACTAACTGAAAGAGAATAGATGTAAATAGGGAAAGTCCCCTCACATCTGTTCAGTTATTTCTAAATTAATCTAGTGATAAGGATACAGTCATTAGTCTCGTCACAAATTATAAGAACCAAAGCTGATGACTTTATTTTGTTTTATCAGAACCACAGTGCAAAACAGACAGAAAAGCATCAAGTCCTCACATCTTAGACGTTTGGAAGATTGATTGATTATTAAAAATTGCTGTTTGTTTGATTCTGGTGATCAGCTAATTGATAAATTGTTTCAGCAGAACTTTGTAACTGTGTAACACTGTGTGTGTGTCTGTGTGTGCACGTATGCATCCTTGGCAGCTGTACGTACCTGTGGACCAGATCAGTTCAAATGTGATGATGGAAACTGCATCCTGGGCAGCAGACAATGTAACGGTGTCAGAGACTGCACCGACGGATCAGATGAAGTCAACTGCAAAAACAGTATGTGCTTTGTGTGTGTGTACAGCTTTACAGATTGCTTTTGTTAATTATCCTGAGGCCATTGTTGGGTGGCAAGGCTTTATTTTTTAATTATATTTTAATTTTTGTTTTTGACATTTGACCTCAGGCTTCCTGTGTGTGTGTTGTCAGTGTAGATGCTGTGGACATATAAATGGTCTTTGCATATTTTCTAGATGTATTTTTTACCAAAAAAATACAAATTATAATCCACTTCAGGTTGTGCATTCACAAAGCAATGCAGGGTGTTGTGATTGATTTTTATTTTTGTGCTCATCCAAGATATAAATGTACCGAAAAAAAACTGCTGGTTATTTTGTTTCCTTACTTTGTTTTTGCACCAGTAGAACAAAAACATGGCTTTGGAGATTTTAAAGATTGATGAGTTTGTGGCAGATTCTCACTCAGACATAAGAAAGAAATTTTCCTTTTTTTAGTTTTTAACACAAACTGAAGGATTAGACTGAGCAGAGCTTTTTTTACGTTTCTATGATTATAGCAGCTTGTTTTCTCACACACAAGCCTTTAGATAGTCTACAGTCTCACTTGCTGAAGTCCGTATGGAGTTTAAAGGTTGTGAAGCTTTAATGAATCTATCAAGTAATAGTTTGGCATTGCTCAAAATGTGGTTGTTTGCTTTCTTAGCAAGAGTGAGAAGAAAAGATCGATACCACTCAATTGTGTTAAATAAGAGGATAGATCCAGGAGGAAATTAGCTTAGCGTAAAGACTGGAAACTGCTAGCCTGGCTCTGTACAAGTCAGAACAAAGAAGTTACTGTAGGGAGGTATTACAGGTAAATAATAAAGTGTGTGTAAGCAGTAATGGCTCTTCACAAGTAAAATTCTATGCATCTCTCCACAGTGACTCAGTGTCACGGGCCAGAGAAATTCAAGTGTCGCAGCGGTGAGTGTATCGAGATGAGCAAAGTGTGCAACAAGGCCCGAGACTGTCCCGACTGGAGTGATGAGCCCATCAAGGAATGCAGTGAGTAATAAAAAAATAAAAAAAATTTCTTCATGCTTATCTAAAGTAATTTGTCCATTTTTACTTATTTTGAAGACTGTAAGATAGAGCAGATCTCCCCCAAATCTGAACTTGGCAAAGTTTCAGCTTTTTCTGTCAGTCTTATTGATGTTATATAATGTCAAGTTTGTGTGGAGGAAAATTAACTCATATTTGAACTGTCCAAAGTTTTCACCAACATCATCACTGAGCTGTAGCCTGCTGATCACAGCAGCAGGCACAGCTCAAGTGCAGAGTAATGTTAACTCTAAACCAAAGATTGTCCTCAAAGGGAAGACACCTCACTTGGCGATTTTCTGAGCACAATGGCATATTTGTATTGATTATAATGTAACCCCCCATTTTCCTGTTGTATGTACTTGAACTATTTCTTTGGCAAATGTGGGAAAGTTGAAGAGATTCCGAGTGGTGTGCTTACGCAGGAAAGATGTAGACGACACGTCGGATACTTAAGATATTCACATCTGAGTGGAAGAACACATGAGGATTAATCAGCATGTTTGATTTTTGTGTATTTATGATATTTGCGTTAGAATCAGTGTTAATATGAGTTATCTTGTAGTATGACCTGGGAATAACCCACAGTATGTGTCTACTGTAATCACTAAATGTCACTTGTTATAAAGTCTTGTAGCGATTCCCCAGCTGGCAGCCCTAAATGTCGGTGACATGAAACTGTTTGAGCTAGAAATATTTAAACTGCTTCCACATTTCTGATTCCATATAAAGCAGATGCTTTACACCAAAGCAAAAAAAAAAAAGAAGAAATAAGCTCCAACACTTAGATTTCTCTAAACAGGTCACGGTTCAGGAGACAATCTCCAATGTGTTGCTCTGAGGGCAGAAAGGTGCCAGAGACAAACAGGGTCAAACTACATGCAATTTCTCTCTCTTTTGCACATTTATGCTGATAATATGTGGATTTTTACATGAATCCCAGCTCATGCAGCTTTAATGTGTCCTGCAGTTCAGTTCTAAATAATTCTCTTTCATGGATCAAAGGACTTGGCCAGAAGTGATGATGCTTTCCACAATCAGAATACGAAACATCCAAGTCCAAACTGGTCTACAGTTCAATCAGAGAAAAAGATTGACATATCTTGACGTATCATGTGAATAATCAATTTAATGGCTGAAAGAACTCCAAAAATCTGAGCGTTATTCTTTTTATTTTCAAGTGTAATGTTGTGCAGTTGGCGCTCTGCCTGCTTTGTTGAATGAAGAGAAGGAGACATTTTCTGTTATCAAAGAACATAGGGAGTAGGGTACTGCACTGTGAAGCTGTGTATCTTTTGTATATTATCCAATAAAAACAACAAACCAACTGCCAGGGTGTCAAAAGGAAAAGGTCTGTTCTTGTTCTTTCTTCATTAGAGGAGATGGAGTCAAATTCTAAACTTTCTGTCTTGTATTGTGGAGCTTGCTGTCCAAGTGCAACTTTGAACAGACAGCTTTTTTTATGTACACTCTTTCTACCTCTCACCTGTCTTCGAGGTTCATGTAATGACTGAAAGAATGAGACGTCTTGTTCAAACGGACTAATTAGTTTCCTTTCAGAGGGTGTCTTGGCAACAGGGTAAAGAGCCAAGACATCTGGAGTAAGCTAGACCTTTTAAGCAAAATAAAGTAAACTATGCTCCGTACACTGCTGTGGGGAAACTCAATCAAGATAACCCGGTTACACCCATCCTGGTTACCAGTGATGTATTAACTACACTGAATAAGAATAATATTGTCACAATTATGTCACATAATCTCTGCTGTGTGTCAAAAATGTACCTTTTTCAGTAGTAGAAGATTCATACTGGACCTACTGTATCAGCATCAGTTTATATCCAGGTTGATCTGTGTTTGATCTTTCTTTTCTTTCATGTGCTGCAGATCTAAACGAGTGTCTCCTGAATAACGGAGGCTGCTCTCACATCTGCAAGGACATGGTAATTGGCTTTGAGTGTGACTGCACACCTGGACTGCAGCTCATTGACCACAAGACCTGTGGAGGTAAGTGGCCTTTACAGAAGAGCCATTTTGGATCGCTACAGGCGGCTGTAAATGTAAAATTAGATTTTGTGAAAACACACATCATTTTACTAGTTAGCATTGTTTACCAGCAGTTGTATTAAGGCTTTTGTGTCTGTAGATGAATTGTGTCTGATAAATTGCCTCAAGTGCTGCATCGATTTTTGAGGTTGCATGTTTTACAGAGGTGCAATGCTAAATAGGTGGATCGCTCTTTTAATTATACATACACGAAAGTCAGAATTTACCTCATACTTCAAGAATGGATGAAGCCATTTTTCATTTTCACGACATTCACAAACATTAAAATTTTGGACCTTATGTGAAATTGAGCCCCTGAACCCAACAGGGATAAATTAATTTTGGAGAAAAAAAATAACCAGAGGATAGCAGTCACAGCCCCCAGCACAGCCCACCTAGACCTGCCGTCCAACCTTGTGGATTTGGTTTCTCCAAGTGTTTGCCTGAAATCTGCTATATATTTATTAAATCTCTATTGAGGACTCTTATTCGTGACTAGACTGGATTCACTAACTCACATGCCAATTATCAAACTGTAGGAAACATCTCAAAGAAACAACATAAAGTAATTGGCATAGACACAGTTGAATTGAAGTAACTGGACATCAGCACTGTAATTATTCAGTCAATTACCAGAGTCATAATGATTTCCTGTGCATGTAAGCAAACAGGAAAGCATGACTAGTATAAGGACATATTTCCAACAAGCTGCTGATTTTATAATAACAATGAGAAAATGATCTTAAGGCTAAAGGCCCAAAGTCTGTATGTGTCCTCTGAGTTCCTAGTAACTGAGATCCAACCAGAGACCCAATAACATTCAGTCTAATCAGATCAGGTCCTGTCCTGTTTCCAGGTGTGTCAATATGTTCATTACCCAAATGATCCAAGTGATTGGACAGGTCTGATCAGTAGCTACAGAAAGAGCTTGTTTGTTCAACCAGATTTTTTACTTTCATGTACCAGCACTGTGAATATTAATGGTTGTATTCAAAAAAAGACGTGACTAATTATAAGTATTGTTTGTGTCCTATTAGCTTCAGCACATTTTTTGTCTGTACTTGTAACTTAGATGAAGATCAGATCACATTTTATCACCAATTAATGCAGAACACCATTTAATTCCAAGGGTTCTCATACTTTGCCACTGTATATAGATCTGCTTTATAATCAAGAGACATGGAAGTCTCACTTCCTACAATATGGGAGCTTTAAACCTCAATCTTGAAAAGTAGATCTGTGAAAATGGTCAGCTTCAGACTTCACAGCTCTCAAAATGAATCCAAAATCAGGTTATTTACTTGCATGGTTTGAAAATAAAACATTGACTTATTTGCTCTTTTACATTCAACTTAATAAGTATGTATGGATTTTTGTTCAACACTCTGAGGGAAGATGCTTCACTACATTTGTCTTTCTAAGAAATCACTAATCCAACAGGCTGGGTCAGACATCAGTAGGCTGGTTGTGTGAGTTATAGCTGGTACATATGCTTATTGAGCACTTCTGGCCTCTGAAGGGTTTAGTGTGTAATGTGATCGGCTGTGTTGTAATCTTTTTTTCTTTTTTTTTCTAAAAGCTGAAATTCTCTGTTATGTTCAGGAGGCACTGAGCCGACAGTTTTGTTATGGAGCCAATCTTGGCCTCAAACGCTGCTTTGGATATTGGAAAATGTGTATAATCCCATCTAGAATGAACCCCACTGGTCGCACAGTGGTGCTTAATCTACTCCCGGATGTAAAATCACAGCTAAACTCCATGAAAACATCAGAATATTTACTTTTAATTCTGATGAGAACATTCTGGCAAAACATCAACAGCAATTAAAGCTAGGTTGAATTTTCATTTTGTGCCCCCTTAAGCTCACATCAGTTGAGTAAGAATCATAGGATTGTTTCAGAAAAGTAATTGTTTTCAAAAACACAAAGTATAGTATATTTTTTTTGTGCAGACAGGTTTTCAACCTTTTGTTGCAGCAGAGCCGAGTACAAACATCTGATTACCCAGATTGAAGCATTCAGTCGAGCTGATTAATTAAACATGTCAGATACCAGCTGTTTTCCTCTGCCCCACCCCCTCCTCCTTCTCTTCATCTCCCTCTCTCTGTATGCAGACATCAATGAGTGCCTGAATCCCGGCATCTGCAGTCAGATCTGCATCAACCTGAAGGGAGGATACAAGTGTGAATGCCACAACGGCTACCAGATGGATCCAACCACTGGAGTCTGCAAGGCTGTTGGTGAGTCAACAGCTGGGAACACAGTACAATATCATCACCCCTCAACCTTAAAGATGCACTGTGGTGAACTAGTACTGTTATTTTCTTTCTTTTTGTCTCAGGCTTTTTCACTTGGTCTCTTCTCAAGAAAACTCAAAATACAGTAGAATCATACTGTGCAAACACGCACTGTATTTTTAAGATTTCCTTAATCATTCAGGAGCACTGCAGCGAGCTTCACTTCAACCAAACCACTGTCCGGGCTTGACTTGACTCTAAAGTCTAATAGTTTTTTTAGAGAGGTGTTGATTTAGGTGTGTGGTCATTTTGGAGGCTGTAGTTTGTGGTGCTTTTCAACTGTATTGAGTCATACTGATTTCAAATATTTTGTCCCCATTTACCAATGATGGTAGACCAAATGTAAACTAGTTTCCAACAAAACTGAACATTGTGACTTTCATAAATTTATTGCAATGCTGTTGTATTAGACTGCAGTTTTAGATTGGTGAAGTGACTGAACCAGTAATTGAGAGTATAATGCAGTTCTTCCATTCATCAACAAATCCTGGAAAATGACAAAATCAAAATTTCTCCTCTTTCCTTAAATGTGTGCTGAATCTTGATTTTTGATTTTTTTTTTTTAAAAGAACATTTATGAGCCACTTTTCCTGGGCTACCCCCTGGATTTCATTTTTCATATAGACTGTCCTAATCGTTACTTTTTAAATAACACCACAAAAAGAAATGTGTTTTCCAGGCTGTTGAAAATGTTCAAAAGTATTTCTGTAAGAGAGGGGTCCTGCAGAGACAAAATTATGTTCAGCATTTCATTTTCATTTAATAAGAATTTGTTATGGAGAAAAATGTCAATAAATAGACCTTCTTCAAAACATAGCAGAAAAAATACACATGTAACTGATGACATGAAAAAGATCTGTATTACATTTAAATAAGCTAAATAACAGAGCCATTGTCAATTAAATTTGTTGAGTTCAGTTGAGGACCTCTGTTGCATCTCTCCTCCTCATTTCCTATAATCTCTCTACCTCCACTACCACTATCTAATTAATAAGGATAATAAATGCCTTTTTTGACAATCCATCTGACAGGATGAGAGCTACTGGCCTCATACACACTGAAGTTTTTGAATTACAATTGTAAATCTGAACAAAAACACTCCACCTCCTCTTTCAGTGACAGCAGCTGGAAAAATAAGAGGCAAATACTAAAATAATCTCAAGATCTAGAAATAGACCTTCTTCAAGAATTTGCCACTAAAAGATAACTCTCTCAAATATGATCAAAAAGGCTCAGGAGTTGTTGCTCAGCTGGAGATGCAGATATCTGTCTCTAGACTGGTGATCATGTGCTATTGTCCCTGCAATGAAAAGACTTTTTGTTGCTCGTTGACAAAGACCATCACTGTATCGTTAAGCATGTTCTTTTTTCCAAATAAATTAGCAACAGATCTTATAAACCCTTCTTTAAATTATAATTCCTCTTCTGTCATACCATAACCATATCGATTCTGGGTGAATAATAGAAAAGAGGCCACACACTTTTAACAGCATGTTTTAAACATTTAATAAGGCCAGATCAATCAGAGATTGCAGTGTCCAGCATCAGTAAGTGGCACAGAGAAACCTGAGCCACATTTTAAAGAGATGAGCTGTCAGATCAACGTTCAGCTTCTGCTCCTCATTTAACAAAGAGTTTCGTGTCTTCAGGTAAAGAGCCCTGCCTGATCTTTACTAACCGCCGTGACATCCGTCGTCTGGGTCTGGAGAGGAAGGAGTACACTCAGATTGTGGAGCAGCAGAGGAACACGGTGGCTCTGGATGCAGACTTTGACCAGCAGATGATCTTCTGGGCTGACCTGGGCCAGAAGGCCATATATAGGTATTTTACACCCAACACACAGAAGCATGCAAAGGAACACAGCAGAACAGTTCAGGACTGGAAAATTTGACAGTTCAATACGATTCCATAGTTACATTCAGGTTTGCTCAAGACTTTGCACAAGACTTTTTTTTTTAGCATCACTAGTGCTGTGTCTCTATCCATAACATCATTCCTCATTTAATTTTTCACTTCACGGGTCAGTCTTAGCTGTCCTTCAAAATTAATGCTAACATAACATGATAACGCTTATACCATGTTCATGATATAAAAAGGCCATTGCAGCGATGGAAAAATTTCCTTCATGTGATGACCTAAAATACTGTGTATTAACAATAGAGCACTATATCCATTAAATTTAGAATTAGTTACAATAAATTTACAATGGATTTGGCTGATGTGAGGCATCCTTATTTTCCTGAAATTATCAGAGACGTCCATGTTGTTAAACGCCAAGTTGGATGTTTCAGACCTTTGGACTATTTTGAGACAAGATCTGTTGTTAAGACTTTGCCCCACATAGTTCTGTGGAAACTAAAACAGGAAGAATTAATGGAACTAATGTGGTCATGTGATAATTAAATTGATGGATATTTTACTTGTGGCACTCTTTGGAGACTATTTGAATCTAGAATATTAGGAGCGGCCCTACATCCAATTTCTTGTGTGGCCAAGGTCTCCAAGTTTTTTCTAGAAAACACCTATTTTATGAATTATTGGCAATGGAGATATTGAAATTTTGAAGTTTAGATTAATATGTTTGACAGTTCAATTTGCATTTAAGTGGCATTGTCTCTGTTCTTTACGTCCTCACAGCACCGTGCTGGACAAACGAGGGGACGTTGGCACCCACAACAAAGTGATAGACAACGTCCAGACTCCAGTGGGAATCGCCGTGGACTGGATTTATAAGAACATGTACTGGTCTGATCTCAGCACCAAAACCATTTCTGTAGCCAACTTCAACGGAACCAAACAGAAGGTCCTGTTCAGCAGAGGCCTTAAAGAACCGGCGTCCATCGCTGTGGATCCATTGTCTGGGTGCGTGGAAAGCTTGGGTTTTGATGATGTCAGATGAAAGCCTTGTATCGCCTATTGACAATGCAATATTTACAAATGTGTGTGTATATACATGTGTGCGTTGGTCCTGTAGGTTTCTGTACTGGTCTGACTGGGGGGAACCTGCCAAGATTGAGAAATCTGGTATGAATGGAGTGGACAGACAGGTTCTGGTGGCAACAGACATTCAGTGGCCTAATGGAATCACTCTCGGTAGGAACATGAACACACACACACACACACACACACACAAGAGCCTATGAGTCATCATTGTCCATGACGTTGCTGCACATTTTCTCCACTGCCGATCCTTCCCTGGTGGAGTTGTATTTTGCTTCCTTTAACTAACATGTTTCAGCACGTAGAAGACTGTAACTGACACTTTTAGTTGCAGAAAAATTGTTTTAGCAGTGAAAGAAGTAAAATTGTTTCTCTGTTCACTGCTTCTTTTTCAAATGCCACTTGATCCAATTGCAGTGCTTACAATTCTACCTGCACTTCCAATCCTTTCAGCATTTCTCCTTAATCTCACAGTTCAACTCCTTCCAATATATACATTTTATCTGCTACTTACATGTTTGTTCAGTTCTTGAATTTCAACTGTCACTTCAGCTTTTTTTCACTGCTTCACCCTCAACTGACACTTCAAATCCTTCATCCAATTTGACTTCACTTCAACTCCTTTTAGTTCTTAAATTTCATCTGCTGTCCAACTTCTATTCAGTGTTTCTGTTTTCAACTGGCACCTCAACTTGTTTTAGTGCTTAAACTTCATTTATTAATGCTGTTCAAATCCTGTACATTTCTTCAGCTCCAGAGATCCACACTTTTAAGAGATTTAAACAGTTTCATGATTTTAATACATTTTTTAAGTGGAAGTGAGCACACAAAATTTTCCTCAAAAAGTGGAGCTAGTTTTTATTTAGGTGGCATTTTTATCTGCCCATTTCATAAGCTCCATTTGGTAATGAAGCACATACACAAGGCTTCAAATGAAAATGTGAACCAAGTTGAAAAGACTGAAAAATGCAGCTTAAGAACTTAATCATTGTTCACTGTGAGGATCAATAAAGCCCCAAAAAATCTATTCTTGTGTTAAGGAGTAGTGAAGTTTAGTGGATAAAAAAAAATCTGACACCTGACCACATCATATAATCAAATCTTCTTTGTTCAGCCCATTCTCTTCCTGCACTTGAATCCCTTACACTGTAGAAAACCATTGATTTGTCCTTGTTAATGAAATGTTGTATTGATTTTATTTTTTCTCTCTTCTTCTCTCCTCTTATCTCTGTCCTCCATGCCTCATCTGTCTTCTGTACTTTTCTTCTTCATCCTTTCACCCTCCTATTCTCTCCCTGGTCTCATTTCCCCTGTCCAATACACTTTTATTGGTGGTTCATCTGGTTCATCTTCATCGTTGTATCACTCCTTTCTTTCTTACCTTTTGTGATTATTCTTTACCTCCTGGATTTTTTTCCTGCCCTATTTTCTTTCCATTAATATTTCTTCCTCTGTTATTTCTTCCATCATCCTTTCATTTCTCTCCTCTTCTCACCCTCTCCTCTTCTGTTTCTTCATACACTTCATCTTCCTCCCAGATCTGATCAAAGGCAGGTTGTACTGGGTCGACTCTAAGCTCCACATGCTCTGTAGTGTCGACCTGAACGGAGACAACAGGAAGAAAGTACTGCAGTCCTCCGACTACCTGGCTCATCCCTTCGCTCTCACTGTTTTTGAGGTACTGCAGCTCTTATGTTTTCATACTGTTTAATATGCACTGAAAATAAAGGTCATACACACGCTATGATGGTTGAGCTGATTATAGCTCCTGGTCATCTTGACTGGTTTCAGTTGGTTCTGAAAATCAGGAGATAAACTCATAGTGTGCTGTTTAGTCTTTTTTGTCTAATTGTTTGTCTGCTGGTCCAGTCGCTGCCCATCATTCTTATTGGGATTATTAGGGGTCCAAGCAGCGAATGCTTGTGCAGCAAAAACTACTGGAGAAAAACTGAAAATTTCACCATCCTATCGCAGTTCAGTGTTTTTCTAATGCTTCTTTGACTCTTCTGCAGAGATTGTCACATAAATTGGCAAGACAAACTTTCCTTATGATTGTTTGTGTTGGTTAAGTAACCCACAACAATTTGAGTTTGTGCCTAGCGACGTCACTCTAATCAGTTGGAGTCAAAGTCTATATGTTGTTCAGTGTGAAGTCCTCTGTAATACATGTGCACCTTTCTGACTGTCAATTCCAAAAGAAAATATGTATGTTGGTGGAAATGTGTTTAGTACATTTCAATAATATTGTCACTCTATTTTAGGGTGACACATAACATGGGGCAACCCTTCTTAGTTAAATTTTCTGGTTTTGAAATAAGAGAAATTAATTTAAGAATGTAACAAACTTCAGTGAAGAAATGTTGCACTAAAGCCCAAACTTACTTTGCATCATGTCATCAGTAAAACATTCGGAATCGCCTGTTTAGCTAAAATCTGCACCGTTTTAATGAGGGGATTAAGAAAGCAGGTACACTTGCTGGATCACATATTGTATATGAAAACTATAGTGTGTGCACACAGTGCTAATATTAAGTACTAACAATGATATCTGCTGTTTAAAACCTGCACTCTTCATATGTCAAGCTGTCTGGTTGAATCACAGAACCATGAACATGTGGCTCTCTTGCTGTCTCCCTCACCTACACCCACTCACACAACTGCTACCTCACTTTCACATTCTCTCACATTTATTCACATGCAGGCAATGTGAGATGATCTCTGCTAAACAGTGTACTGTAATACTCCAGTGTATGGAAAGCTTTTTCTGTCTGTTCTCACCGCTTGCAGTCTAGTAGCTACTGAAGGGGGAAAATCCTCTGTGCAAGGAGTTCAGTTTTTTTGGGGGATGAACGTGTGAAGACGGGGGTTAGCCTGACAACACGAGCAGTGAAAGATATTGAAGCTTACAGACTAAGTTAGAGCATCACCTAAATCAATACAAAATCAAAGAGGAGTGAGTTTCATTTGACAGGTGGTCTCTGCAGAATGCAGTGCAGGAACACAGATGGTCTTAGCACACAGATGGCTGCATTTGTGATGTAGAAGCTATAGATGAGAACTGATAATATATTATTGCTACCAATGCCATTATTGATTTTATTCTTTATTGATTCCCTTAATGATTCCTGAGCAACTAATGGCACTAATGTTGTTATAACGTAGGATATTTAGCATTGGTTATGGGCGTGATGCTCGGTTGGGAAGCAGCAGTGGCAATCATTCCAAACAAATGGTAATCCTGGAATTTATGCCCTTGTTGCGTAGAAGGATGTTGCAGAATATTGCTGGTGTTTCCACCTTTTCTTGAAATCACCATTTTACAGACGTTACAACTAACACTGTCGTCATCCTTCATTAAATCAAGCCACACATTTCTCTCTCCTTGCCATGACTCCTTGTTGTTGCAAGTTTCCAGCAGCGTAGATATGTGTTTGATGTCACTGTTTTGCAATGTGCAACTGTCAGGAAAACATGCCGCCATCAATAAAAGGACAATGTGGAACCAGTTCTTGATACCTATCCCTCCATGCCCTGTTTTGTACAGTACTTGTACAGCTACAATTTCCTTACAGGCATTTGAAAAAACCATCTGAAGACCTGAGTTAAAGGGTTAGACGTATTGTTTGTAGAAATCACTTTCTTTAATTCAGATAAGAGAAGAAACTTAGAGAATAGGTTGTTGCTGTTGTGTTCATTGCATGAAGATAAAAATTGATTTTCAAGTTGTGCAGGATAAATTACATTATATCAATATTGACACCATGGTGAAGGTGTCAATTAAAACTTTGTCAGGTTGCTTCAATCTGCTGCAAGTAACCATGACAACAGTACTCATGATTTATGGTTATAAATTCCGATAGCTCAATCAAAGATGCTCATTTATAGCCAAACAAAGATTAACAGTTTTCTGTTGTTTGCCAAGTGGCCTTTGATAAAGTGTGATAATGCACTCTCATATATCCTAATCTAGAAAACAATGGGCTGATCATGGCAGCAGTTTGTGCTGTTTCCTGTTTTCTTATATTGAGTCAGGCTCAGCATTATATCTATTGAAGCTTTCATCTATTACAGTAATAGAGACATGAGCTGTATTTTTGCATCTTCTCTCCAGGATCGAGTGTTTTGGACAGACGGCGAAAATGAAGCTATTTACGGTGCAAACAAGTTCACAGGCTCTGACGTGGTGACGCTGGCCAGCAACCTGAACGACCCCCAGGACATCATAGTCTATCATGAGCTGATCCAGTTATCTGGTAAGAACCTGATGGGAGGGGGTGGGAGGAGGAGAAATGAACACAAAGAGGTGGAACGGAGAGACATTAAGGATCTCTGAGCTGGAAAATCTTCTTATTCATCAGAGTCCTGCAGGCTCGGTGACATCACAGCAACCTCAGGGCTGATGTTGGACTTTTTTCTTACAGTAGCTGCTGCTGTGAGTTAATGAAGGTTAATGAAGAAGTTAATCAGAAATTACTGTAATTACACACGATTCAGGTACAGGGTGTTGTAATGCTAATTATCCCTGTAGCTGTAATCATGCTACCATAATTGATGCAGGTCTACCAGCTTCTGACATAATTTACTAGAGATTAATGGAGGGAAGGAGCCACTAAGATGTAGCAACATACCAGCTTTGTGCTTCTTGACAAAATATCTCAACTCAGAGTCTGCTCACTAGGTTGTTCAGGAAGCTTTTAATCATGTACATCAAACACATGTACAGTTCCTTAACAACTGAAAAAACTCCATCTGTTGATTAAAAACCATGTGATTCGATCGAAAGCTTCTTGAACAAGATGGTAAGTGGGCCTTGAGTTGTAGTCTAGATCAGATCACAAGTCCTGCAACTCTTTCAGACTGCGCAGATCAGATTATAGACTTAATATATTCTTACAAATATTAAAATAGAATATTTTTGAATACTTTTTGTTAACAAACACACACAGATTCTATACATGGCAAATGGAAGAGGGTGTTGAGGCTTCATGCTTATGTCAGTGTTTTCCTGCACTGACTTATGATCTTCTGTGAAGCACCAGCAACAATTTCACATTATGATTCATAAGGATTCATTTTTGTGTTAAAAGGAAATACTTAATACTTACTTACTTAATGTAGCTTCAATGTGCAGATTTTCTATATGTCTGGCAAACTAATGAGAGCTGTTGACTCTGACAGGAACTAACTGGTGCACAGAAAAAGGTGAAAATGGAGGCTGTAGCTACATGTGTCTGCCTGCACCGCAAATCAACAAACACTCCCCCAAATACACGTGTGTGTGTCCGGAGGGGCAGGAGCTGGCTGCTGACGGCTTACGCTGCAGACCTGGTGAGTCACAACACTACGCTGCAGTCGATTCATTTTTTGGCATTTCATTCGTTCATGTTTCCTATACAGGTATAATCTGTAAAATTAAATAATTTCTTCACTCACTCATTTTGACATGTTTCTGTAATCAAAACAAATACTATGACTGCAGTAGCACTCACAAATTTATCTGCAGTTTGCTTGCAACAGTCATTTGTGTGATCTGCGTACAAGCATGGCTTGCATATTGTTTTTGAGAAACAGACCACAGGGCTTGTGAAGATGTCATTCAGTCTGCTTTAATAATTTTAAATCCGGCATGGACACTGTAGAGCTGCATAATGAATCAATTTAAAATCGAAATATTGATTCAGACTCGTCCACAATCTCATGATGATTCTGCTCCAGAGAGATCTGTTGCAATAGACCAAGTCTAAATTTTTAACGAGTTGCATCACCAAACACACACTGTGGGGCAGAACGTAAAACAAATATGTTGTGAGAGATGTCACATGATAAGAAAAGATTTACGAGTACAGGAACCAAATTATACAGAATCAAGGAAACCCTGTCACTGGTAGTGAGGAAGGAAAATACATTTATCAATTTCTAGATCTGTCAACAATTGATTAGATGAAATATTTTTAATTGCTTTCCTGAAGAATTGCAGTCTCACTTCTGAGTAAGATGATTACAGGTGTCATTTAATCCAGAATTGTGCAGGACCAGGAAAGTGAGTCAAGAAAGTTGTTGAAAAACAGCTTTGGTAATTGCTTAACTTTGTTAAGAAAAAAAAAAATTTCCCCAAAACATTTTAAAATGCAGGTTTAAAAAAAAAAAAGAAAAAAAAAAGTTGTTGCTCTTGATATACAACTCCATGTTCATTTGTGGAGTTTATAGAAGCAAAACTGGAATATTTCAAAAAAAAGGAAGAATGTTTTAAATAGAAACTGAAGGAACTAAGAGCTAAATATAACCAGTAATCCATCTGACTGATTTGCCACTGTCTTAAGGTCTCCTGTGGGTTGCATCATGGGAAAATACTTTTAATTTTGTGGTTGGGAGAGTATAAATCACATTGTGGTGGTTAAGACAGCAAACATGGTAAACACTACAGTTACTATGCACACAAATGCATGTTTAAAGGTGAACCTGTGCATTCCTCTCTGCTTCATCTTCCCTTTACTGTGCTGCTTGTCTCAAATGTGGCTCTTCTTAAAGAATTGATTAGAAAGAAAAGGCTAAAGGAGGCTAGGCCTTCACAGGGGAACCCCCAAAACACAGAATCAGTTGTAAGAAACAGAATGAATTCTGTCTAATTCTCTGCATTAAACTGGCTTTTTTTTTTTTTTTTTTTTAAATAGGAGTTTTGTCACTCCCTCCTTTTTTCCTCTCCTTCTCAGCCACTCTAGCATGTTTCCTTGATGTGTGTGTTCCCTCTGTGAGTCTTGTCTTCTAACTGTATCCACGCCAGCCACAAACCCAGCTGTCTGTTTGTGTTAGTAGTCTGACAGCTGAACAGTGGCTGAGTCAGTTGGTGTTGTGATCCAGTTTTCAGCGACTCTTTGGCAAGTCTCAACACCGTCCTCCTTCACATCTCAGCTGCAGCTCTGTCTCCTCCTCCTGTGTTTGAAAGTGTCTTTGTTGTCTCGTCCTGACAGCTGAATTCCCGAGGTTGATTCCTCTTCCATTCGTTCTTGTCTTCTCGTTTGAGGCCTGGTCTGAGCTGTGTTGAGTTCTCTGGACTTGTTGAGTGTGATATGATTGTGTTAGGGCAATGACAGCGGAATTTATGAGGCACCAATATGTGACTGTTGAACATATCATTCTAAAACCATGGGTATTAATCTGCAGCTGTAACAGCCTCCATTCATCTGGGAAGGCTTTTCACAAGGTTTTTGAAACCTGGCAGCAGGGATTAGCTCCCTGTGGCTGGCCTGACTCGGTCGGCATTCCAGTTCATCCCAGAGGTGTTGGATGGGGTTGAGGTCAGGGCTCTGAAGGTCAGTCAGGTTCTTTCACACCAAACTGTTGAGACCACATCTTTATGGAACAAGCTTTGAAAAGTGGCGCTGTCATGTTGAAATTGGAAGGGTCGTTCACAAACTGTTGACAAAGTTAGATGTATGTATGTAATGTATGTACGTAGTAGCATTAATATTTCCCTTTCCCTTGGGCCCAGACCAAAAACCATAAAAACCAGCCCCAGAACATAAATAGGAAATGGATCGTGTTTATATAGTGCTTCTCTCGTAACAACCTCTCAATGTGCTTTACATATAAAGGTCACATTCACCCATTGACTTGTAAGGGATGTCATGATACCAGAAATTTGATAGTTGTATCAATACCAATAAAATTCCACCTTTCTCGTTGCTAAGTTTGATACCACAGTAAAAAACAGAAAACAGTCTGATGCCCATACAGTATGCTAACGTACTTCCATATAGTCAGTGTGCAAGCAGTAGGTTAAATTGACTAACAAGGTGGTATGAAAATGTTACTCAGTTATAGTTTGACAGACTGAACAGTGATGGTGGCAGCCTGCTAATGTTGTGAGCACCCAGCTCACTTTGTGAGGTGTTGCTATGTTAGCCTAAACAAGTTAACATTAGCCTTTGTAAATAATGCATGTGGATCGTTGCTACATCAGATGTCAGCTGACACAGTGGACAAACATTTCAAATAACATTTCAGGACATGAACATTTTGATGACTTGTTAATATAAAGTGAAAACAACTGAGATTAACTCACCCTGAATTCTGCGTACAGATCCAGATGATCCTGTATTTGAGCTGTTTAGATAAGTTTGAGGTGTTTCCTCCTCTCATTTGAAATGCTCTATGCGCATGCAGGCATTTGGTCAAATACAAAATATCTCCATACACCAGTCTTTTTTTTGGTTTTTGTGTCTTGCAAGTCGCGGTGCACCTGTTTCTCACCCGTATTTGTCGCTGCCATTAGTAGCTGGTACCAAAGAATGAATTTGAGCATTCAAGGCAAAAGTAACAAAGTACTGGTTTGAACATATTACTTCCAGAGTTGGACATGAGATTTACTGTGACAGTATGAATGCTTTCAGAAATGAAAATCAAACTGCAGTCCTGCTCTCCATAACTTTTTCTTTGTTGTGAAAAGGTCGCTGGGGACCGCTGTCTTCTCTCTCTGATCTGCTCTTCTGCAGTTGTTTTGTCTCAAGCCGTCCAGCACCTTTCTGCGCTCCCACAGATTAGCCTTTTCATACTGAAGCAGTGTCAGATAGGAACCTGACAGCTGAATCCAGTGCACATACTTTCCTAATTGTGCTCAAACTGTAGAGCGAGACACTGGTGTACACAAAGCACTGGAACATCTCCCTGACAACTGTCAGCTCCTGAATGAAAGTCTGCCTAGTTAAACTCTGAGGTTTTCTTTAGGACTTGTCGTCTTTTCTCTCCTCTATTTCCAAGTGAGAGCTGAGTCTGTTTCCAACATTTCTTGACAATTTTTCTTTCCTCTTTTTTCATCTTTTATCTGCAGTTTTACTCCATTTATATTTACTTCATATTTGTCTGTTTCATGTTGTATATCTGGGACATTGGTTGAATCTTTGGATCTCTCTTCAGTAAATTAACCCTGACCGGTCTCATGCAGGGCAGCATGTATTTACTCAAATGAAGGATTTATTTTTCTCACACCCATATGTCTTCATGTTTTCTAAATTTATATTTGTGGATCCTACCATTTTGGGTTGTTGTAAGGGCACTGCTGTGCTTTTCTTTGCTTTTGCCCTCAAAATTTAGTGCTACTGTTTTTCAAAAGATAATCCAATTATTTTCCTGGTTTTTACCCTAAATCTTTAATCTTTTCTACCAGACAAAAATGCTGTAAATGTAAAACATGTTGTAAGTTGCAGTAGCCAAAGTTTTTAGTCATGCTAGTGGCATGACTCTGTGTATGATAATGTCAGCCAGTCATTCACTCAGTCAGTCCATGTGTAGTTTAAAATGAAATGTCTCAGTAGCTGTTGGCTGGATTGCCATTAAATTTAGATCAGACATTCATGTAACCTTCGGGATTATTTTTAATCACTTTAGTGATGCTCTTATTTTACCTGTCCAGTACTTTACTTTGACTGATTACTTGCAAAACTGATGTCCAATAGCGTCATGTGTACTTTAACTGCCAATTAGCATTTATTAGCATGCTATCATACACTACCCTAAGAAAGTAAATGCAGTAAGTGTTATACGTGCTTAGCATCAGCATGTAAATATTGTCATTGTGAGCATGTTTGCATGCTAATGTTAGCATTTAGCTCACAGAACATCTGCACTGGAGCACAACTTCAGACTTTTATCATATTTTATTATAAATTTTGGGCTGCAAAGGCTTTACAGCAGCGTTACGTTTAACACACTCTTAGTTGGAGTGTGATATAGGAGCGACATGAACACTGGCACGGCTTTACGGAAGAAATGGGTCATGTAACACAACATCAAATTATATTGATATAAATAGTATTGTCTCATTCTATATCTTATTTCAAAATGTACCAAAAAAGTTTATATACAGCCAAGGGTGAAGTGTCAGTATGCTTGGAACAGACTAGTTTATATGACATGTCGTCCAACCAAATCTGAAGGCAAAAGTGTTTATAGCTGTTTTAATTGGCCACACACAAAGGTGGGGTGTAAAGGCTGCTGTCATAGAAAAAACAGTGCACACCATTAGACAGTCTTTCCACAGACATTCAGTGTTGCTTTTTGTGGTACCCACAAAAAGTCACTGGTGTAATTGTGGGAAAACTGAAAGAAGAGAGATGCTCAAACCCTGCTTTGTTTCTCCTGTGTTCATCTGCATAACTGGCCAGTCGCACTTTGATATTGGAAAGGTGAGGGAGAAGGCTGACACCTTTTAGACTGTACCTGTGTTGATTTCACCACAAGGAGAAGATGTATATGAATTGTCATACAAAAGGACAGATGACAGATGAGCTCTGTGTCTGTCTGCCAGCTCTGCAGCAGGTTTTACAGCCTGCTTGCTCCACAGAAATGTAATGGTCTTCATATAATGAACGTCCGTGCAGCCTGACTCACCTCCTCGGGGGCTGTTTGGGAATCTGGAGCTGCCTCCAGGCTCTTTACAGCCGCTGTGATGACTGAATGTAGCACCCAGACTTCCAAGATGTTTTTTATGCAGCTTGAGTGCTCGGTGTCATGCATGGTGTTTTTCTTAGCATGTTAATCAATGCAAACTTAATTTTACCCAAACGCATGAGGCGTGTGTGTGTGTGTGTGTGTGTGTGTGTACATGTGAGTTTGGGAGAGTGCGAGTTTTCTTGCATGCTCACGTTGTCTTGTGAGTGTCTTTATGTGCATGTCTGTTTCTATAACTGTGTTTACACGCCTGTCTGTGTTTCTGGTACTATTTAACAGTGAGAATAGTGTGGGAGGGGTTAAAGAGGGATGCCTGTCGCTCGCTGAATGCTCCTCCACCTTCCTCCTAGTTGGGCTGCAGCCAAAGGCCTTGTTGCTCTTTACTACACCTCCAGCTAACATATTTATCCCATTTTACAGCCGTTGCAGCTGGACTGAACAGAAACTGTAGAGCATTGTGTGGTTGCAGCTTTGACCGGCTCTAATCTTGTTAGTGAGAGAAGTAATAAGCAATGCTCCTCACTTCAGGGCTGAACCTGAAACTACCACAGAGGGATTCATATAACAGTCTTAAGAGGCGACTGGGGAGTGTTTTCCTTCAGACTGAACAATCTCAGGCTGAAATAGAGGAGGTTTCAGGGATTTTCTGACACTGTTGGGACTCTACTTAGTTCCACAGATTGTTTCCTAAGATATCAATCGTCATCATCCGTCTATAAAAGTCACTTTTAGATTAAGTGGCTTTGCAATTAGGCTTTGTCAATATTTTATTCATGCTGAATTAAATATGCTAATAAAGCCCAAATCCTTCCCAATTCCTTACTCTATGTATTTAGATTTACCTTTCAGCAGCTTTTAAAGTTACCCTGTGATGTAAATAGCTCTGCTAACATGTAGTGTTTCACACCAAAAAGCACTTTCCACTCGAAGGCATGTCAAAAGTCCTGTCATCCTTGTGCCTGCATCTTGCTGCCTCCCTCATCTTTCTCACAGAATTGTGTGCCTTTCTTTGTGTGTCTTTGTAGACTCAATGTGATAAATTGCACAAATTCTCATAACAGCACTCACTTTGATAGTCTCTCCTCAAAGGCATTCATGGTGTTGCATTGTGTTATATACACAAAAATTGACAGAAGTAGGTCATCTGAAGAATGAAAATAGAACTTCAGAGAAGTAGGGTTGGGTATCGTTTCAATTTCTGCTTATCAAATCCGGCTCTTATCAAATCTTAGTTCTGATTCCAATACTTTTTTGTAAAGTAAAAAGATCAAATATTTCAATAAAAACATTAGTATAATCATGGTTTACTGTAGACTATAATGTTAGTTATTCTATCAGCTGTTTCTGATGTGATATGACACAGGAAAACATCAAATAAAGCTAAAATCCATGGATATTGCTTTGAATGACCCATTATCAATGATGCATTTTGCACAACTAATGGAGGAGAATCAGCTGTAACAAAAAAACTCCTTCCACAAATCTTGTCACCTCTCAGTGACATCCTTTCATTTTCTCGTTGCTCATCTTCCCCATGCGCGACAAAAGTGAAAGGAGTTTCTGTAATAGAGGAGGGTCTCTGGGGATGAACTGGAGGTGGAGGGGTACTCTCTGAACTCTTATCTAAGAAAATGTACATTAGAATAATTTGTAGACATCATTTATATACCTTTTTATATTAAAATGTCAGCCGTGTGTTTATACCTCTGAGTGAGACACTGCTACTGTTAATGTTAGCTGTATCTATTGTGCCTGGGAGACGGCGTACAGCCTGTGCTCCCACTAGGGAGCTGAGTAAAGTCTTGTTAACTGCTTCAAGTCATGTCACTTGAGTCTGTGATTGAAAAGTTTGGGGGGAAAAAAAGCCTGAGTGTGTGGAATTAGAAAGAAGTAAGTTTTTCAGACCTCTGTAGACTGCTGCTCATCTCTGTTTGAGGCTAGGGGCTACTTTGGCTGCTACAAGCATAACACACCCCAATTTCCATCCTAACTATCGGTGGCTGAGATGCATTGTGGGTAATGCAATGTTAAATCAGAGGAGTACTCTTTTAGTGTTTGCCATTTTTGTGTGTAATCATTTTCTGTTGATTAATGAGTTAATCAGTTGTTTCGGCACTAGTATAGTTTGCAGTAAGCAACGGCTTTGGAAACTGCTTTAGTCTGTGCTTTATGTTGTTTTGTTTGGCAGTAAGCATGATGTGCATTCATTTCCAACTCCTACACAGCAGACCTAACGGCCCTGTGAATATACAGTAAACACAACAACACTGCTGTGTGTGCTAATCAAGGCTGCATTGATCTGCCTGTAAGGATTTTACTGTTGCTGTTGTCCATCCTGATTGTAGACGCTGAGTACGACATGCTGATCAATACAGTTTACTGTGCATTGTAGCTTTAAACCTGGAAATTGCTTGTGAATGTTGTCGCCTCACTTTACCACTGTTTGTGTGCATCTCGCTTGTATGTCTATTGTATCATATGTTGTCTTCACTTATAGATGTAAGGCTGCTGCTGTACATTGTAGATGGTGCCATGATTGTTTGTCTTGTCTCTTAGCTTGGTGATGGCTTAGCTTTACTCGCTGAAGAAAAGTGGATCCTGCTTTCATCTGTCGAGCGTATATTAGTTCAGTCTCCTGAGATCTGGTCTATTTTCAAACATCGCCTATTTACATGTGAGCAGTTTAAAAATAAATGAAATAAATAGCTTGTGCTGTCAAAGCATGACTCTTGGCTCTCTCTGTGACAGACCCTTCTACCAAAGGTCCCTCAAAGGATGATGGGAACGTTCTAATACAGCCACCCCCAGGTAAAACCATCAGTCGCCGCCTGTTCTGCTGCTTGTCTCTGGGATGGTGACTTGCATGTTGGGCTTTGTTCAAAAATCAAAAAACAAAGAATGTTCTCCTCCCTTGCATTTTAATTGTTAAACATCTGTTTTCGAAGTGTTTTTGGCTACAGACACAGTTGCAGTTTGTATTGACTTTCTTTCCTTGTACACTTGAATCTGCTTTTTTTTTTTTCTTAATCTGCTGCCAACATGAAATGGTTAACTCAGTTGTTTTGCACAGTGCTGTGTGGATTTTAGATTAAATGCCTGTCTTGTCTAGCTGTATCTGTAATGAGGGCTTCTGGGTGCGCTTTGGTGTTTGTTGTTGGGTTATGACACACATTCAGATGTGTTTCAGGCCGTGGTGCTTTTCAGATAACTGATTTAAGGCAGTGTATACTTAATTTGTGCCACATGGTCTTGAGGTATTGAAGGGGTAATTCCCAGCGGTCCTTTGTTCTGTCCAGTTTTACTTTGCTGTTATTTAGGACAAATTTCTACCAGTTGGATTTGAGCTATAACAAAATATTTCAGTTGTTGATTTTCAAATATCTGACTAATGTACCTGTGAAGTTAGGTTGCTGTTTTATGAACTCTTTCAATCCACTTGATGTAGTTTGCTTGAAAAATTGCACCTGTACCTCTCAGACATATACACCTACTCTTGTTTTCTGTACATCCATGATGACAGTGCAAACAAGAACTGTCAGTAGCCTCGTGACTCTTCGTGGTGCCGATTCACCAAAATGAAAAGTAACTTTAGGCTAAATAGAAACTGGGATTAAGATGCAGCCCTCACCATTTTCTCAACATGTCAGAAACCACTCCCTCATTCCCTTATTCACAGCGAGTGAGTAGTAAACAGCAATTGCATCATCGTTGACAAGTTTATTATATCTATAAAACACTTTGTGGATTGTTGGCAGAAAGTATACTTTGTTCCACTGTGGGGAAATGCTAAATTTCACTCCCGGAATTCAGACATTTAAATAAAATGGCGTTGGGAAAATGTACAGTGCAATGTGACACAAATAGCGAGTGATTTCAGACGCTGCCACCGACTCCATGCCAACATTTTACTTTCTGATTGCGTTACTGAAAAATTATGGCAACTGTAATGCCAAAATCCAGAACATGTTTATCAACCAAACTGACATAAGAAACGCAACACAAATTGATCTGACTAAATGCAAACAGCCTTAATGTCCCAACACTGCAATTCTTTCCCTGAACACTGACACACTCCTTACAAGCTGAAGAGCAGAACCTGAAAATAAATTTATGTAAAAAAAAAAAAATTTAAATAGCATAACTATCTCTGACATGTAGTGGCTATATTAGATGCATGTAATTAAAAAGTGGGTCAGAGGGATAGATTTTATTGAGTTTTTTTTTTTTGTTTCTCACCTTTTCTTGCCTTTTCTGTTTCTCATTGAATTTTCTGTCTTAAAGTTTGATTTTGCTCCTGCTCAATATTTGGTTTAGTTTGAGGATAAAGTATATATGTGCTTTGTGTCTGTCATAGCTCAGGTTTCTGACTTGACTTCAGCTGGATATGGATTTGGCCGCGTTAAACCCTGTAAACATTTCAGAATTACAAGGTATAACATGTAATTGGTAAACTTGAGCTTTAATAACTTTATCCTAATCCTCTTAATCCTGAAAAAAGCTCTTGGGGGAATGAGTGAAGATGAAATTTGCTGATGAGTTCCTGTTCGTTTCCAGTTACAGAACTCATGACTTTTATTCAGTTAGTTGAACCCCTTGATTTTGTGTTCAAACCATAATGTTGTTAAAAGCTGCACATATGATGCTGTAGGGTTCTCTGGATGCATCTGTGCTGGATTTTGTTCAATTTACATGTTCTGCTACTGTGCTAGTGTTGAAGTAGCTTCCCAGGAAAGAGCACCTGGACAGTAAACCACAGTTCAACATTAAACTCTGCACAGGCAGATGTTTGCCTGCATGCACAGCTCAGGAGCAGCACCTAGTGGCACAAACTGGGAAGTGACCCAAAAGAACTAAACCACCAAAACCATTCATAATCTGCAAGTTCCACTTATGGTTATAGATATTAAATTGTGACTGCTGTGTTGTAGGAAACAGAGTTGAAAAGAAGCTAGCATCAGTCTTACGGACTCATTCTTTTGTATCTGTTTCTAATTCTGTGATCTCAGCTTTCTGGAGAGCACAAACCCCCCTACCCTGGGGGTCAAAAAGGTTTGGCTGACAGGGTTGGTTGGTTTTCTTTTTGATTAATGTGTCCGTTTTCTTCTCCTTGTATGAAAACTCTAAATGAAAAATCTCCACAGTATAATATGAAAAGGTATCAATATGTGAAAACTTGAAGGATGAAAGTCCGGAGAAACTCTTACTCTGTGCTATTTTTTCTTATTGTCAGCAAATCGGATGAAACGACTGATGCTGAGAATGAGAATCGTCTGTGTAGCCTGATAGTTTTGGAGCACTTTTGCACAAAGGGATAAGATCTATAAAAAACACATCAATGAGCCACAGTGTTGCACTGAGTGACCTTCATACCATGAACACAAAAACACTGTAGTTTATCACACACTTTTTAGAATCTTCAAGCTCATAGTTTTGGTTTTGCGGAACATTTACTGTATGATTCGGTCTCAGTGCCTTCACCAGCCTTGTTTCCAGCAGCAGGCAGCAGTTTTCAGTAAACCCACTGTATCCTACCAAACACCAGCAGACAAAATGAAGCTAAAGGCTGAAAAAAATGGAACATCTAGAAGAAACAGATTTTTGTAGAGATGGTGGGGACCAAATCAGAGGCAAAAGGCGAGTCATCACTGGAGTTAGATTCATTAGGCAGACAGAAACAAACTCCAAGAGGATGATGAAGTTCCTCTGTATCTGCTGGATGTGTAAATGGGCAACAGTTTGCTAACATCTCTGTCATAACAACTTTATCTAAAGGTGATGCCATTTCAATGTTGTGCTTTGAGCTAAATGTTAATGTTAGCACACGCACAGTGATCATTCAATAAGCCAATGTTTAGTGGGTTAGCATTCTAACATTTAGCCCTAAAAACAAAGTGCACATGGGGCTGATGGGAATGTCATTTGTTATGCCGATATTTAGCCATAAACCAAAGCACTAGACAAATTAAACTTTTGACCTAATGATGACGCTACAGTGATTACCTTCATCCCGAGAACGACCAGACTGTGTGCAACAAATGTCATGGCAAGGGCTAATTATAGTTGAGATATTTCCGCCTGGACCACCATGGGGGACAGACCAACAGAACAACATCACTGTGCCTTTTAACAGGTTTTAGTATTCATAGTTGACATTGTTGGAGCTGGTGAGCCACTGTGTCCCATTCAGTTTGTGGCTGAGAGCAGTTGAGGAGGCGTGTCGATGACATCACCGAGCCATTTGGCTGCAGACTGACTGGCAGGGAGAACAGGAGTTTAACTAAACCCTGTTTGTGGTTTCTTTGTCCTGAAGTCTCCGTCACTGCTTTCAGCCGAACTGTTTGCCAGTCATGTCACTCACTCGCTGCTGACACTAAAACACTACAGCTTTCTCCCTGAACACTCTAAGTCTGGATAATGTTGATCTTGGAAACAAAATAAAACTCTTCTTTAAAAACAGCAACTAAGTTTTAACTTTTAAACTTTTACCTTTTTAGAAGGTTTAGAGCCAAATTCGCACTTTGACTAAATATTTGCAGGCTGATAATTGTGCACTTTTGCATCCTCATTGCTGGTGTTTTTTTCTCTATTTGAGTGATCATTTTCATAGCAAAATATGTTTGCTAGTTTTTTGGGGTTTTTTGAATTTATCCAGTGCAAATAGCACCAGAGACATTGTTAAGGCTACATATTTTTAAAGTCATTACAGCAGATTTTGCCAATATTTTTCTTTTTCTTAAACATAAATATGTCTGTCCTCTTTAAGTGTCGAGTGTGGTTCTTTTCACTGCTGGGAAACCGTTAACACAAAAGCATTTCAAAAGTGTCAAGTCATTTTCCATGTGTTGACAATGTCAAGCACAAGTTGAGAAGCAGGGCGTGCCGGCATCTGTCTCCCATTGTGCCCACATGCAGTGTGATCATCTGAGTTGTTTTCACCATATCAGTTCACATAGAAATTTTCTTAGAGGAGATTAACCTCTGTTAAGTTTTTTTCCACAAAGAGGACGTTTAAACATCAGCTAGACTTGCTCTTCTGATCATGCTGCTCAGTCCAGTAAAAGGCCTGAATCAACAGAACTCATTTCCGACTAAACTCCTTTTATTTTTTTAGCCTGTTAAAATATGTTTTCTCTCAAACTGAACAAGGAGATGACTTAGAAATGCCATCAGTTCATTGTTGTTGGTCACAGTCATTGTTTGGTTAAAACTGTTGATTTAATTATTTTGTTTGTTTTCCAGAAGCCAACGTGAGCACATCGATCCAGGTGAACTCCACAGCCAGAGGGTCTGCTGCTGCCTGGGCCATACTTCCTGTCTGTGAGTAGAAGTCACACAGACACTTGCACTCAGACACATTAGACGCCTGACGGATGAAAAGGTCATGACTGTACATTAAATTATTTCTGTCTAGAACATGCTAATCATTAATTTGTGCACTCAGTAAACTTTTATGTTGACTAGTAATTTGTAGGTTTAATTGACAATTAGCCCCAGTTCTATGTTGTGAGGAAAAGTTTGATGTCTTAGCAGTAGTAGTAAAGTAGAAGTAAAATCACAAGATGACACAGGTGAACATTTGTATTCAGCAGCAGATGATGAAACCTTGTGTTTGGCTGGTTGAGAGACTATCCCCGACTCTCGAAGATCAAACTGTGTAGGTCCACAGTGAGTGTTTTGAGGATTTTGTAAATGGAAACGGGTGAGAATTCATTCAGGTAATTTGATGGAATGAATCAAGGAACCCTGGGGCAAGATTACGTAACTTAAGGGTCGAAATTGTTATTTGAGAGAACAAAATTAAAAGTTAAAATTTACAAATGACCTGACCTGACGTTTGAGGTGATGATGAAATGACCAATTGTTTATATATCAAAGATTTCCTGCAGATATTTACAGGTTTATTTAAAGAAATACATTTCCACATGTGGAAACCTTTAACCCCAATACTGAAAGTCATCTGACTGTATTTGTGTCCATTTGTCCCTCTGCTCAGTGCTGCTGGCGATGGCGGCGGCGGGCGGCTACCTGATGTGGAGAAACTGGCAACTGAAGAACCAGAAGAGCATGAACTTTGACAACCCTGTCTACCTGAAGACCACAGAAGAAGACCTCAACATCGACATCACCCGGCATAGCGCCAACGTGGGACACACCTACCCTGCGGTGAGTAAACAACAGTACAGCAACAGAGCAAGGGGCATCATGGGTAAGAGAAGGTCAAGAAACAACCTCACAATCTGGATGTACTGATCCCAAAATGCATGTTCATCTCTTAATCAATTAATGATCTTTTTTCAGTTTATGTGAACTGGAACATACAAAATGCTGCACACAGCAGTGTTAGAGCACTGACACCATGTGGCTCTATTATTATCCAGGTAACAACACAGAATAATCTGGTGGGAAGAGTTTGAGCAGCCGTGCAGCTCAAACAATTTCACCCTGATGCAGAGGATGCAGACTGCACGTTAATGACCTCTACTCTCACCCAGACCTTGTGTCCTGCAGTAATCCGTAGTGCATTGTTGGCCGTCCAGAGAGCACAGATTAAACAGATTAACCTAAACCGTTCAGAGCCACAAGATGGACAAACCTCTGCTGTCACCCTCACAGCTGCAGCAGATGTCTCTCTGTACGTTCAGATGGGGAGAAGCCAAAAGGGTTGAAGTAGTTGCAGTACAATATCTCCCTGAAATAATACATTATTTTTTATATTTGTTTGTATGAATTAAAAAACAAGATGCAGCATGTTTTTTTTTTAGAGGTGTTTACACTTCACGGACAGAGCCAGGCTAGCCGTTTCCCCCTGTTTTCAGTCTTAATGCTAAGCTAGGCTAACCATGTCTCAACAGAAGAAATAATGAAATGAAACATTTAATGAAGCCACTTCTACCTCTCTCCTCCCCTCCCTCTCTCTGTCTCCAGATTTCGATAGTGAGCACAGATGATGATTTGTCCTGATCGTCTTGGGGTTTTTTGTGGGTTTTTTTACGGCAACCCGTAGTGTTGCATGGCGCCTCCTCGTTCCCATGCCGACGGTTGTCTGTAGCAGCAGCAGCAGCCCTTACAGTTACGACCACATGCCTTCTGAAGTGCATTATGTCATTATCTGTGGTGAGGATGACCAGAGGAAATGTTACTTATGTGAATACTACAATGAATTATGTGTCATAACTGTTTTCACTCAGTGCGTCCAAAGTGTTAAGGATTTTCTTTCTTTTCTTTTTTTTTTTTTTTTTTTTTTTTTTTTTTTTTTTTTTTGTTTTTTTTTTTGTTTTGGTCTTTATTTTTCGGCCTCAAACTTCCTGTCTATTTTGCCCTGCCCTCTTTAAGGAGTCAGACGCCATCTTGTCACAATAAATGAGAGAAATGCTGTGAATTTTCACTATTCGATTGCCTCTTCCAGGAATTTCTGTTTTCAGACGGAGCTGGAAAACTGACAAGAGAATTCAGTATTTCTCTCAAACAGATCAACTCTGCTGGACAGGAAACTAGATCTGAGCTCTCAGTATCCGACAAGATGCGTGTTTAAAGATGGCGGGAGACTCCAGGGTCAAGAGTCATTTAGGAATGAGGCATTCCAGGGAAAAATTTGGCCCAAACTTTATTTCTTGATCCAACAGGTTCAGATGTGTGAATATTTATATGCGATCACGATTTGGGCAGTAATATCTAAAACTATAGGTTTTCCTTTGTCAATTTTTATGTGATAATTATGTTTCCTTTCCTACTGTACCTCCGGGAGCTCATTCTTACAAGTCGTTTTCTCAGTGATTATTATTATTGTTGTTATTATTATCATTATTATTATTATTATTGTAGAAGCTGTGTAAGGATCACCATGGTTACAGCATTTGTAAACACTGTACATATTTACCCATCATCCCTCAGAGACATGACCGTCAATCAGGACTCTCTTCAATGCACTTTGATCAAATGTTCCTTGTGTAAATAAGATTGTATACATTTGACTTGAAATCAATTTTTTGCTATGGTTGGGCATCATACCAGGGTTAGAGATGTATTTAACAAGAAAGAAAAAGCTGAAAAAATATGAAAAAAAACACAACTGAATTTGGTAAAACTATTTTGTATGTTTGTGTGCTGTTGCTGTGAACTTTTTCTAGCCTTGTACAGTGAAGGGGAACACTATTAAAACTTAACAGCTCTGTATCTGTGAAGAAACTGATTTGCAAATCACTTCAGAATTAAAACCTAATCCACAACGTTGTTCAAAAAACGGCGTCTGGTCTTTTCTATCGTGTGTGTATGTGTAGATACACTATATGGGCCAAAGTATGTGGACACCCCTACCTACATAACCTTTATTTTTTATCTTTTTTTTCTTTTTTTTTGGTCCTGGGCTGACTTCAACCTCATCCAACAACTTTTGGGGGAACTGAAAAGTAGACTCTAATCCCACTTTGTCAACATCAGTGTTGAACACATTAATGGCCAAGACTGCCAAGGAAGAGGCAACTGTTAGACGAGGAATTCGAACCTTAAACAAGATGCACCCCGTTCTCAAGTATCTGTTCAAGATGCAGATAGAGGCGGAAAACGAACACAAAAGCTGCTGTGAGAAATTGAACTAATGCAGCTAAAACCTCTCCTCTCTATGCAATCATCTTTAATCTCTGTGAAACATCACTGCTTCTGTCTTGTCTCAGCCGGATCATGGCAGCTGAGGGGAACAACAGGAGGCGGTGCTTTCGTGAAGTAGAGGAAATGGGTCAAGACAGTGGGAGAGCCACAAGTCGTTTTATTTGGAATGAGTCCAGGTCCATCAGATCATTGGTCCTTGCTGTAGCTAAATGGGGATAATCTCCAACTATCTGACTGCTTGAGTTGTAAATTGGACAAAATACGTCAAACACACTTGGATTAAGGCAGAGATGTTAGATGTGAAGGTCTAAGATACATTTCAGAGTGGAAAAATACCTCATGGGTTATACATTGAAAAAAAGAGGGAAAAACAAAATTTTGACGACAAATAAAATTCAACCAAATTACACAAACCCAAGAAACCCAACTCTCCCTCTTCCCAAACCCTGACACCGTCTATGCAAAATGCATATTACACAAGATGCTTCTGGCTTTTTAGTGTTGTTCTGCATATACAATATAACAGATAATCAATTTTAGGATTAGTTCATGAGTTTTATATCAGTGAACCAATTTGATCTTTGGATATTTAACTAATTTTTTTATATTTATAAAGTTTCAAACTTGTGGACTCAACAACAATGCTTTTACGTCACCAACCATAACTAACTTCACCTGAAGATCCACCAAATGTTTTAATTTAGTGAAAATTAAAATACCTCCAAGCTGGAATTGATGGCTGTGGGAATACATACTTCTCCTAGGTCAGAACTGAAATATCGTGACAAAGATTGGATAGATTGCCAGGATCTTGTTTGCTTGCTTATGCTTTACTGATCATAAAATCTTTACTTTTGTTACCTGTCAACATATAGATATAGGAACAGCAGTAAGAGTCTACAGCCATGCTAGCAGCTCTGTGAGGCTGTATTTATTTTACAGCTGTTTGAGCTAAATGCTAATGTCAGCATGCTAACATGCTTATATTTAGTAGGTATCATGTTTGCCATGTTCATCATCTTGGTGTGCTAACGCTTCATAATTAGAAAATAAAGCAGTGGCTAATGGAAACGCCTTTAGTTTTGCAGGTAAGAAGTATCTTACAGAGTGAAATTTTGACCTGATGATGCAGTTCATCCTCAGGGAAACATGAATACACCAAATCCATCCAACAGTTGAAATATTTCACTTAAAAGCACAAATGTCAACTTCTGGTGTTAAATGAAATATCAGGAGATCCCCAAAGTTTTAAGGGTGCTGTGTCTGGGAACCATGAATGTCTGAACAAAATATTGCTCCAAACCAAATTGTAGATGAGTTTTCACAGAATATCGCAATTTTAGCATTAGCATTTAACTCAAAGTACTGCTGTGCCAGAAAAGTCAACCAACATTAGAAATGAATTTCTATCATGATATTAACTACAAACCCTAGTTTACCAGTTGTAACACGTTGAAGTCGGTGTGAGGAGAGGGAGAGAGATCCAGAGATAGATGGAAGAGGATAATAGTACTTAAAACTTTAAGCACCCAGATCATCTCAGTCAGCTGCATTAGACGATCAGAGTCACTTCCTACCGCATTCCTCTGTGTGTACATTTGTGTGTGTGTGTGTTATCGTTTCTCTCATAGCTGTGTTTGTGTCAGCTGTATGTTTACATGACTTCTCTCTGAATATTCATCATCCTCAAATCCATGTTTATTCATTTGTATGGTTTTCTTGTTTGTGTGATCAAGGTTTTGTGCAGACGTGCAAGATGCCAGCTGTGTATGATGTTGGAGTTGCCAGGATGTCTTTCCATGCAGGTTAATTAATATTTAGATTTCAAACACATACACATTCAGCAGTGATCATGTTGACACATCTGAGAGCCCGTAGCAGGAGTTTGTTCCACAGCTACAAGCCCGGCAGCCAGACTCAAGCCGTCAAAGAACCGTTCGACCATCTGGACTTCACCTACACCTTTAAGCCATGGAACTCCATGCAGGTCAGACACTTTATTCCTGTTTTTTTTTCATTTGTTAAATTTGCTCAGTTCTTCATGACAAACGGTCCAAAAACTAAAGGAGAAAAATTCTCAGCAAATTCTCACATTTGAGAAACTGGAATCAGACAATGTTTGGTGTTTTTTGCCTAAGTTATCAAAATTGTTGGTGATAGATTTTCTGTCAGTTGTGTAGTCTTGGTGGTCAGATGTTAACAGAAATCAGTCTGGATCAATTCCAGTTGTACATTTGCTGGATTTAGAGTCTTAAATTAGATACTGAAATAAAAAAGCTATTTTTGCAACAACTTTGGTTATATATGCATCTGCAATATGGTCTTTGAATACCTTTAGGTATTTCTGTCACTTTTATTCTTTAATTATTATATTTCTTATATTTTTCCATTTTCACAATTTTAATTATTTTCTGTTTTATTCCGCTTATTTTTAATCACTTTGTTACTGTCTCATTCATGTTGTAGAAAAACCTTAAAATGTTTAATTCATCAACATAAAGTTTTGGTTTTGTTTGTGAAGGATCTGGGCAGAGACATCTATGATCTTTATGCTGAGTATGAGGATGAGGAGGAGGAGGAGGAGGAGGAGGAGGCTCGTTTCTCAGCATCTCCCTCCCGCCTGTTGATCTCTCCAACCAAACACTTCATTCTCAACATCAATGTTGGAGGAACGGTAACTTACTCTATTGAAATTCTACCTCAAATACACTGCTTCAGTAGGTTGGTAGGTTGACAAATCTTTTTGTTACGAGACATGAAGGACCTCATTGAACTAGATCATAACTCATATTTAGCAGACTGCAGATTCTCCACCAGGAGGAGCTGTTCAGTCATTGTCAGATCAGTTCTTCGCCTGCAAACTGGCACCACCTGCTGCGGTGGTTCTACAGGAAGTCCAACAATGACCGTTATATTAATAGATGATATGATTATATTCTCTAGTGTTAAATAGTTAATGACAGACATCTGAACGGAGACAGCTGTAATCTGCAAAGGTCAATTCTCAAATGTGTGGCTTTCTATTACAACTGCTTTCTCAAAATGGTTCAAATTATATCACTACTATTTTATTTTTTATTTTTTANTGACAGCGGTGGGGAACCCCACCCCCCACCCCACCCCACCCCAAACAGATAATAAGATGATTAATTAACTATTTATTACTTATTAAAGATTTCCAACTTTTCTCAGTTTAAAGGGGCTATTTTGCTAATGCTACGTAGCATTACCAATGGCCAGTGTTAGCATTAACACCNGAGGAGGAGGAGGAGGAGGAGGAGGAGGCTCGTTTCTCAGCATCTCCCTCCCGCCTGTTGATCTCTCCAACCAAACACTTCATTCTCAACATCAATGTTGGAGGAACGGTAACTTACTCTATTGAAATTCTACCTCAAATACACTGCTTCAGTAGGTTGGTAGGTTGACAAATCTTTTTGTTACGAGACATGAAGGACCTCATTGAACTAGATCATAACTCATATTTAGCAGACTGCAGATTCTCCACCAGGAGGAGCTGTTCAGTCATTGTCAGATCAGTTCTTCGCCTGCAAACTGGCACCACCTGCTGCGGTGGTTCTACAGGAAGTCCAACAATG